ACACTCTCTGCCATCTATCCTCATCGATTGTTATCATATAGTTGTTGCAGCCCTAGTCTCTACAGGGGATCCTTACCTACCATTATTTCTGTACACTATGTCTCTGTGTGGAGGTGGCCATCTTGGCAGAGGTTTTCCTTACCTAGGTTCTTACTTAAGTTAATAACTCAGTAAGTCTCGCAGGGACTCGGTAAGACTTGAAGGAGCTGTAATTGTTCTAGAGCAGTGGTTCTCAACCTGTGTAACCTCAGGACCCACATTTGTCCTTGGTCATTAAGTGGTGACCCAAGTTGCAATGGAACGCACAGCATTGAGGTGCGGGCGATTGAACTGTGGGAGGGAGGTGTGTTTGGGGTGCCATTATGAGACCTGGAGTGGATCCTCAGCCCGGGGTCCAGTGCTGGGCTGTGCCGGAGCTCCATGCATTGCTTGTAAAACTCGCTTGCGTGCCCTGTAGAGGTGCCGGGAGCCAGAATGTGACGTTACTCCGGTCTACAGAAAGTCCACCGTTCTACGTTGGACTGGTTACTCCGGTCTGGGCACCTCTACAGGACACGTGAGGGAGCTGTAAGCAATGCAAGTATGGATGGAGCTCCCTCGTGGCCCTAGCTCCAGCCCACCTCAAGCTGACACTCGACGCCAGGCAGCATATTCTGAATGGCTGATCTGCGTGAGAACTGACAGCGCTAAGAGACTCTCACCTAGAAAAGTGGAAGGCACACGGCGACCCACTGAACACAGGATCGCAACTCACTTTTGGGTCACGACTCACCAGTTGAGAACCAAGGTTCTAGACCAATGGACTTTGCTGGTGATTCCTCCATGATGACAGCACCTTCACACAGCCTTTCATCCATACTGAAGATGTTGGCAGAACCTATTGCTTCCAGCCCTTTTAACCTGCTGACCCTGTCTGTATTTCTCCCTTCATGTCCAGCAGAGAGCTGACAACGCTATTTCTGAAATACAGCAGTGTTGTCAGCCCTCTGCTGGATATGAAGGGAGAAATACAGTTAGGGCCAGCAGGTAAGAAGTGCTCAAGGCAAAAGGAGCTAAGGTTTGGGAGACATACAGAAGAAATCATGGAGGATTGCACGTTTGATATGGCAATTATTGATTTTTGCTTGAAGTTACACTATAATGGATCAATGTTTTTTTTTTTTTATCTGTGCAGGTTGATATCATTGTAACTACAGCAGGGGGTGTGGAGGAAGACCTGATCAAATGTCTTGCACCCACTTACCTGGGAGACTTCAGCTTGAAGGGGGCAGATTTAAGGCCAAAGGGCATCAACAGGTATTTTTTTTTGGTAATGGGGTCAGAGGCTTTGTCATTCCTCTGTACAATGATCCTTCTACATCTGCCTCTTCATTCATCTGCTGCCCATTAAGCTCTATGACTCTTCTTAATACATCAGTCATCACTTGATAAATCTGCCGTCTATTCCGTCTGCCTTTTTCTGTTCTCTGATGTCTCACTACAAGTCTTATCTCTGTTTTGTAGGATTGGTAACCTTCTTGTTCCAAATAATAATTACTGCTTGTTTGAGGACTGGATCACCCCAATACTAGATCAGATGGTGTTAGAACAAGACACTGAGGTGAGGGAATATGTGAGGACTTGACATTTCATCTGTGTTATATACACCAAACCGCCATGATTGTAATGCTTTTCTCCGTAGGGGACTAAGTGGACGCCATCTAAGATGATCGCTCGCCTAGGAAAAGAAATAAATCACCCAGACTCTGTATATTACTGGGCCTATAAGGTGAGTACTCATGAGGACACAGACAGGGGGAGCTATATGACATGGAGTCTGTCCCTCCCACCATAGGGTGACACAAAGGGGGAGCTATGTGACATGGGGTCTGTCCCTCCCACCATAGGGTGACACAGACAGGGGGAGCTATGTGACATGGGGTCTGTCCTTCCACCACAGGGTGACACAGACAGGAGGAGCTATATGACATGGAGTCTGTCCCTCCCACCACAGGGTGACACAGACAGGGGGAGCTATGTGACATTGAGTCTGTCCCTCCCACCACAGGGTGACACAGACAGGGGGAGCTATGTGACATGGAGTCTATCCCTCCCACCATAGGGTGACACAGACAGGGGGAGCTATGTGACATTGAGTCTGTCCCTCCCACCACAGGGTGACACAGACAGGGGGAGCTATATGACATGGAGTTTGTCCCTCCCACCACAGGTGACACAGACAGGGGGAGCTATATGACATGGAGTTTGTCCCTCCCACCACAGGGGGACACAGACAGGAGGAGCTAGGTGACATGGAGTCTGTCCCTCCCACCACAGGGGGACACAGACAGGAGGAGCTAGGTGACATGGAGTCTGTCCCTCCCACCACAGGGGGACACAGACAGGAGGAGCTAGGTGACATGGAGTCTGTCCCTCCCACCACAGGGGGACACAGACAGGAGGAGCTAGGTGACATGGAGTCTGTCCCTCCCACCACAGGGGGACACAGACAGGAGGAGCTAGGTGACATGGAGTCTGTCCCTCCCACCACAGGGGGACACAGACAGGAGGAGCTAGGTGACATGGAGTCTGTCCCTCCCACCACAGGGGGACACAGACAGGAGGAGCTAGGTGACATGGAGTCTGTCCCTCCCACCACAGGGGGACACAGACAGGAGGAGCTAGGTGACATGGAGTCTGTCCCTCCCACCACAGGGGGACACAGACAGGAGGAGCTAGGTGACATGGAGTCTGTCCCTCCCACCACAGGGGGACACAGACAGGAGGAGCTAGGTGACATGGAGTCTGTCCCTCCCACCACAGGGGGACACAGACAGGAGGAGCTAGGTGACATGGAGTCTGTCCCTCCCACCACAGGGGGACACAGACAGGAGGAGCTAGGTGACATGGAGTCTGTCCCTCCCACCACAGGGGGACACAGACAGGAGGAGCTAGGTGACATGGAGTCTGTCCCTCCCACCACAGGGGGACACAGACAGGAGGAGCTAGGTGACATGGAGTCTGTCCCTCCCACCACAGGGGGACACAGACAGGAGGAGCTAGGTGACATGGAGTCTGTCCCTCCCACCACAGGGGGACACAGACAGGAGGAGCTAGGTGACATGGAGTCTGTCCCTCCCACCACAGGGGGACACAGACAGGAGGAGCTAGGTGACATGGAGTCTGTCCCTCCCACCACAGGGGGACACAGACAGGAGGAGCTAGGTGACATGGAGTCTGTCCCTCCCACCACAGGGGGACACAGACAGGAGGAGCTAGGTGACATGGAGTCTGTCCCTCCCACCACAGGGGGACACAGACAGGAGGAGCTAGGTGACATGGAGTCTGTCCCTCCCACCACAGGGGGACACAGACAGGAGGAGCTAGGTGACATGGAGTCTGTCCCTCCCACCACAGGGGGACACAGACAGGAGGAGCTAGGTGACATGGAGTCTGTCCCTCCCACCACAGGGGGACACAGACAGGAGGAGCTAGGTGACATGGAGTCTGTCCCTCCCACCACAGGGGGACACAGACAGGAGGAGCTAGGTGACATGGAGTCTGTCCCTCCCACCACAGGGGGACACAGACAGGAGGAGCTAGGTGACATGGAGTCTGTCCCTCCCACCACAGGGGGACACAGACAGGAGGAGCTAGGTGACATGGAGTCTGTCCCTCCCACCACAGGGGGACACAGACAGGAGGAGCTAGGTGACATGGAGTCTGTCCCTCCCACCACAGGGGGACACAGACAGGAGGAGCTAGGTGACATGGAGTCTGTCCCTCCCACCACAGGGGGACACAGACAGGAGGAGCTAGGTGACATGGAGTCTGTCCCTCCCACCACAGGGTGACACGGTCAAGTTGGAGAAACTATGTGACATGGAGTCTGTCCTTCCCACCACAAGGTGACACGGTCAAGTTGGAGAAACTATGTGACATGGAGTATGACAGTCGTATGAAGTCTTGTTTCTCTCTTTTGAACAGAACGATATCCCTGTGTACAGTCCGGCCCTGACAGATGGCTCTTTGGGTGATATGCTCTATTTCCACTCGTACAAAAATCCTGGCTTGAAACTGGACATTGTAGAAGGTAAGTTTAAACTGATCTGTGAATAGAATGGAATATTGATTGCTATATACAGTATTATGTTCTGTTCTAGTTTCTTTGTATTGCTCCATTGGGGAGCCTAACTCTTCAAAGACTTCTCCAACCTTTCTGCTGAAACTATGCACCACCCCTATGTGGCTCCATGTACTCCCCCCACTTTCCCTAAAATCCTAATAACATTACTCTTGGTGTTCTGTGCGTGTGGTCTCATGTTGCTCATGAGGTTCATTGTTAGGTTGTAAGTTAACTCTTGAAGCAGATCTCCAGGAATGATCTCTTTTGGTCCAACTTGGCTTGTTGTAAACATCAATCTCTGATCTCCGTAGGGGTGCTGGGGATGCTAAAAATCACGGTAGTAGTCCATGTTGCATACATTGCCACCCGCAATGTTCCGGCAGCGGCTCTAACAGCTTCCCCGCTGCATGCTGAGCAGAGAGAGTCGCTGGCGCGATATCGCCGCCATTCAGAGAACACCTAGCATTTTTGTATTGAATACAAGGCATTCTCTGATTGGACCAGGTGGAGAGTAGGGGCGGAAGACGACATTGTCTCTAGAAAACCCCTTTTTATTAATTGACAAAATACATATTTATGGGAACTATTGTTACGGTCATCTAAAGAAAAAGAGCAAAACTGATTTACACATTTTATACATTTGCTTTTCCATCCAGATATCCGCCGGCTGAATTCCTCTGTAGTCTTTGCCAAGAAGACGGGAATGATTATTTTGGGAGGAGGATTAGTTAAACACCACATTTGTAATGCTAATCTCATGGTAAGAATGCGTAGACCACTCTGGAGAGAAGAGGTCCTGCAACTATGTGAATTCCTGCTCTCATGACAAGGCTCTGCCAGCCGCTTCATTACTCTTTAGAAGGACCCGTCGTCCTCCATTTCTTGGCATGCTGGGTGTTGTCTGTACCCCTGCGTGTTATGTACGGAGGTAGAGGATTCCCAGTGCTATGTCTTCGGTGCCAGCTCCTCTGAGCTGGTTCTATCCTCAATCACTGTGACAAGTGCCAGCCATGCAGGGAACCTGCTTGCTGTATATGTGTGAAGACCAGCGCTGGTCCTGCATATGACGTTTCTCAGCATTTGCTGCCTCTGGTATAGGGTGAAAAGGGCCTAGTGTAGCAATTCCTGCTTTGTGAAGCAAGGCTATCATTGGTAGAAAGGTTTTGCAGTCTGTGCCGATGTTGTGAGGGTTTTGTTCATCACTTCTGGTGTCACTGGGAGCAGAAGGTTAGGCGAACCTCTCAAGTGGGGGACTCACAGTAATGAGAACCACTTGCATTAGTACAGTGGCATTAGACATCCTTTGTGAGACATCTCCCTCCATTGGGTAGGTTCTGTCTGGTGACATTGCAAAAAGGAATGGAAGGCTAATATGCGCTGCCAGAGTGTGAGCAATACATGCTGCAGAGATAATAGGAGAATGATAGGTTGCCATCATTTTGATATGCATCTACACCTAAAAACACAATAGGAGAATTAACAGAGATTGGTGCAGGCAGCTCTTCTAAACTGGAAAAAAATGGAGCAGACCCTCCTCCTAATCACTAAAGGGGGCATAAGCCTCTTTGCTAATCAGAAGTGATCTGCTCCGTTTTCGATGCCATGTCTGTGGCAGACATTGCATAGACAGCGGGAGAGCTGGAGCTGCTTGCTCTGGCTCCCTTTGCCTACCCCACTCCCCTGTTCAGCTGAGACAAAGAGGGAGGCTGTTAACCTTGCTGGGGTTACCAGCTGGCCATATGGGCAGAGATCGGATCTTTTCCCTGTGCCATTGTAATAGGGAAAGAGAGTCCTTAGCCTCGTGCAAGATCTGACCTGAGCGATTTTGCTGCTTACACAGGGATTCTCTTTACTCTACATGGGGGTTCACTTTCAGAACCTTTCCCTCCCAAGCCACACACCCTGAAAATCACAAAATATAACAAGTTTCTGAAATACCTTGACAGCAGAAATGGCCGCTTTGGGGTTCTGCGTTAGTGGGTCACATGTCCAAATGCCTAGAACGGTGTGTCTTGTGATCTCTGCTGAAAATCAGATTTGCTGAACAAAGGTCAACTCACTTTCAGGGAGCAGGGTGGGGAGGGATCTAAACTGCACCCCATGTGCTATTAATCTAATAGTAATTATATAACCTGTTTTCCCCAAAAATAGTAATTATATAACCTGTTTTCCCCAAATACCCTGAAAGTAAGACCTAGCACTATTTTTCAAGATTCCTGTAATATAAGACCTACCCCGAAAATAAGACCTAGTTTGGTGGTAGCATGTGAGGGGGAACTTGCAGGAGAGATGGTATCAGCCTGCAAGGACCATACTGTATTAAGGGGATGACAGGGGACTCCCTCCGGCCGGCGCAGTGACAGGGAGCACTCCAGTACCATACTTCACACCAACTGCTGTCCCCTGAAGGCGCTGCTTAATGTAATGGTACTGTACTGTAATGTGTACTGGTAAATGGTACCGTACTTTACCGCCCTGTCCACGGTCTGATGTCCCCACTGCTGCACCGCTGGTACCGCTGTCCCTGATGGCAAAGGAAGCCGGCTCTGTGGAAAGCAAGGCTCCGGAGGTAGCAGAGCCGCATTAGCCGATACTTCCTCTATAGCGCCAGTTACTGTGACAGGCGGAGTGATACCTGATAACTTTAGATTATTGTACATTTTGTTGCACATTATAAAAAAAAAAATGACATCCCCTAAAAATAAGACCTAGTGTATTTTTTGGGGGCAAAAAAAAAAAAAGACAGTCTTATTTTCGGGGAAACACGGTAGCTATAGACAAGATATGGAGCGTTTAGGTTCAGCAGGGACAGGGCTTAACACCCTTTCAACTTGCACCTAAGAAAAATTCGACCTTCCCTGTCCTACTCCTTCTTTTATGTAAACCTGCAGCAAATTCCTGAATCGTCAACAAATCCGGTACAAGTAATTTTTCCAATCCTTACTCTTCTGCCGCAGAGGAACGGAGCAGAATATGCCGTGTTTATAAACACAGCGCAGGAATTTGATGGTTCGGACGCCGGCGCCAGACCCGATGAAGCAGTGTCGTGGGGAAAGATTCGCATGGATGCCAACCCAGTCAAGGTTTGTCTGCTTCCATACTCCACCAAAAAAACAGCGTCAAGAAATCAGCACCACTTCAACTATAACCCCCCTTATCTGCGGCCTTCTTTTCACAGGTCTACGCAGACGCCACCCTGGTATTTCCTCTGCTGGTGGCACAGACGTTTGCCCAGAGGCACGCAGACTTCACAAACAAGCAGAAAGATCAGGATTCATAAGATGGAGACGTGTACACCTCTAAGAGTCCCTCTTCTGCTGGAGGCCTGCTCAGAAAGCATGCTGGTTTTTCTAGGTGCTGCTACATTTCTTTTAGGTTTTTTGTTTTTATCTGTTCTCCTCAGTGGCAGCGTTCCTGGGCTTATGCAGCATGCATGTAAATATATATTATACGCACACTTAGAGAAAATATGGATGTAAATACATGTGTATATAGGTTGTTCTGCAGTCACGGGAGGCCCAGTTGCTCTCGGTGACCAGGAATGTTTGGACTTCAATAGCTGGAAGCTTTTTATTTCAATACGTTTAAGTAGTTATGACTGCAACCATTACACCAAGCCAATAAAAGTTTATGGCTGAGCAAGTTGTGCCTGCATTGCTGCACCTTAAACTCAAAGACTAGTTATAGGAAACCTATACTGGGAAAAGATGGAGTCTATCATTGCTGACCTAAGAATACTAGATTCCTGACTGGAGCACTACTGCGTCAATGATCAAGCATGAAGTTATTGGAGTCAGAACTCCTGATCTGAAAGTATAGAAGCCATCGGATCAGCATGACGACTGGCATTCTCAGGACAGCTCAACAGTGGCAGGCTCCCTATGGTCTTAGATTTTGTTTCCTCTAGGGCTAATTCACACCAGCCACAGTGCGTTCCGGCTGGAACGCACTGGATCGCATTGCGGGCGGCTCACTTTATTGTGGGAGGGGCGTGGCGGTGCATTGAACTCAATGGCCGCAATGCGATTGGTCGCACGGGAGCGCAAGGCACATGATTGCCTGGGGTCCAATCAGAAAAAAAGTGCTTCCAGCTATTTTTACTGACCTCAGGCATTGATGTGCCTTGCATTCCCGAGCAGCCGATCGCATTGCTGCTGGAGGCCACGCCCCCTCCTGCCCTACAACAAAGTGAGCTGGCCGCAATGCGATTCAGTGCGTCCAGAATCGGGCCGGAACACAGTGTGGCTGGTGTGCTTACCCTGATGCTGCTGGCTGAGCAAAAACTGTACCATATAGTTTGGATGGTATTCAACAGTAGGGCAGCAGCTGGTACAAAGGCACTTGTGTTCCTCTGAGCTCTCTCAATTGGTGGGCCTCAAGAATGGCCGTCTTGACTGGTGCTTTTGGGATCAGTAGGTGGAATCCCCATACCGCATGAGGGCTGATATTTATGTTCAAGTGAACCTACTCTGTGCCCATGCATTCAAATACACACCTTCCCTTCACTCCTACACTGGTAGCAAAGAAAATACCCAGTTTGTCTAGTATAGTGGATCATGTGACTCTATTCTCTTCCTCTCATGCAACAGTGCTGACCCACAGAGGCAGGAAAAATGGTCCTTAGCTCTGTACAAGCTCTGACTAGAATCCGTCTATTCTACTAATACAAATTAGTAAACTAAACATGAGATTGTAGTCCATCCCGGGAGCGAGCTTGGAGTGGTGACTACTTTACAACACACACAGGGAGCATGAGGAACAAAAGTAGCCACCCTCCAGAAGGAAGGACAGTGTCAGCACCAATTCAGAGATGATTGGAGGGTCTACAGCCGAGTGATACACAAATAAGATACATTTTTTGTTCATAGTTCAGGTACTTGAATGTATTTTTAGGATTTAATGCCAGAGTTTAGTGTCATTTTAAGTTGTAATATTGAAACAAATGGCAGCTCCCATTTTTCTGTTCTGACAGGTTCCCTTTAAACACGGTTACTACAGGATTTGGTAGTTCAGTGTTGATGTGCAGGCCTGGCTGCCTTGTGTAGTCCAGACTCCAGTCAGAGCTGCATATCCTCCTATGTTATATCAGGGCGGCAGAGTTGTCTTCTTTGCAGTGATCTGCTTTAGTCACAGCTGCTGTAATTTAATTTAACTATTTTTAAATTAGTTTTGACAAATATGGAAATAAAATGGTTTCCAAAAAGAATTTGCTTTCATTTTATTAAAAAAATAAATGTTGAGCATAGAGTATATACAGAGTATCTTTGGTCAGCTGGATGCTTCTTCAGGAGCCGCCTCGCTCCATACCTTGACTTCCCCCTCGCTGGCGGTGAGCAGGCACGGCTCTGTGGGGTGGTATGACAGCGACTGCACCACACCTTTACTAACTGGGAGCTTGTATACAAGGGAGCCCTGCAAGATGGGGGAAGAGCAAAAGGTATTATTAGCAATGCGGCATTTTGGGTAACATGGTAGAAACTGCAATCAGGATATTAAAGAGGTTAACGCTGGAAGCTGTACCCAAAATGGTGGGCAGAGGACTAGTCACCAGTATTGCATGTGGTCTCCCTGCAGCTGATCTTTCCTCCATTACTGACTCACCATGCCTTGTTCTCCACTATCTCTATATGGAGACGGCCATCTTGGTTTGCCTCCTCATGTCAGAGCCTGCAGCACAGTAGTGCTGTCACCAAATCTCCTGGGACTAGCAGTGCCTGAGATCTCACACTGCAGATATACAGCTATGAGGCTGCATACAAGAACACCTAGGGGCCCTCACATACCAGATAGACCAATTATATTTTCAGGAGGAAATTTAAAACAAAAGGCAGTGTAATGACGCAGTGCCCAGCTTCCTGATTGGCCGGGAAGCCGACTCCATGCTCTCTCATGAGGTGGCGAGGGAGCATGAAGCCAGGTGCTGAGTCATTACACGCTGCCCGGCTTCCTGATTGGCCAGGAAGCTGGCTCCATGCTCTCTCGTCACAAGTGATGAGGGAGCATGGAGCCGGCCAATCGGCAAGCCAGGCAGCGTGTAATGACGCAGCGCCTGGCTTCCTGATACAGGAAGATTTGGGCTAGGCATCGGAGCATTTGGGAGAGTACGGGTATCCACCATCTCTAGAAAAAGAAAGCTGCAGACAGTGGCTCCCATATATCTCCCTGCGCAAAAGTTTAGGGTGGCATCAGTGATATCCATAGCAAGAATAGGTCAGACTAATGCAAGGAGCATATCCCAGATGACTACCCACCAGGAGTACTGAATACCAAGAAAAAGAGATTCACCTCTACTAAGTCCCAGAAACAGACAGTCCCGTCCTCCGAGCAGCCCACCACATGTGTGTCCTTCTCACTCAGACAGCTATCCAGCTTGTAGCTCTTGTTCTGGTGTCCTGTGTACCTGTAGAGGTAACAAACATAAAGGCTCGTTCACACCGTCACCATTTAAATGCACCACATTAAACCGCACCGAAAATCAAAACCAAAAGTCCTTAGATGTAGTGGCTGTGTTAGTTTTCTTTTGTTGGGGTATTTTTCCCTTTGTTTTCACCTGACAGTCCTGCACACAACAAATTTTTTGTTTCTAATGTCCTCCTGTGACCCAAAACTCAGCATGCAGCAGGCTATTGCCCACTATATTCTAACAGCGCAGAGCTGAAGCCGGGAAAGATTCCGACGATATTGTCAGGATCCACTCCACTGCCTAATTGACAGCTGGCTCTGCCTCTCTAGAACCAGAAGCAGCTGTGCCCGCCCCCTCCCGCCTGTCCCTCCAAGTCAGCGGAGAAGAAATGGGGGATGGGATCTCTGTGGGGAGTGATGATTGACAGTCACCATTCTGCAGGGAGAAGATCCTGAACTAAGCGATCAGCGTTTTGTGATCACACAGTTCTTCATCAATAGAGCCAACGCATGACAGCTGCAGTGTGACATGTTGCCTCTAACTATGGGGAAGAGTGTATATAACGCATGCCATAATTCTCCTTTAAATACAAACTCACGGCATGTGTCCCTCTTCTAGCCATGGCTCCTACACTACAAACATCCAAATGTAGAACTCCCCCCACATCCTTGCACATGCCAGTGCTGGGTACACGTGACCTCACAAAGTATGGCATGGAAGTTGGGCATCTATCTGCAGCACCTAGTGGAGGCTGGAGGGAGCTAAAGACTGCGCTTCATACAATCTGACAGTTACAGCGCATTGTATAATGATAATGAGTATATTATGGGATATAGAAATGGCGCCATTGGATTAGACCTTACATGGGGTCCATCACTCTTTACTTCTGAGTGTTCCACTTACTCTCCTAATAGTTCTCCTGAGTCCTTATCCAGGAGGCGGAGGGTGGAGTCCAGTGATGACGCCAATAGACACTGCGAGTCCTGGCTGAAGCTCACACATGTAATGGGACCTGAAAGAAAGCCGATAATTATCATCCCGCACCGTATAATGATATCGATAATGATCACACCGCACCGTATAATGATACCGATAATGATCACACCGCACCGTATAATTATAGCGAGTATATATACACCGATAATGATACCGAGTATATATACCCCGATAATGATCACACCGCGTCGTATAATGATACCGAGTATATATACACCGATAATGATACCGAGTATATATACACCGATAATGATACCGAGTATATATACACCGATAATGATACCGAGTATATATACACCGATAATGATACCGAGTATATATACACCGATAATGATACCGAGTATATATACACCGATAATGATACCGAGTATATATACACCGATAATGATACCGAGTATATATACACCGATAATGATACCGAGTATATATACACCGATAATGATACCGAGTATATATACACCGATAATGATACCGAGTATATATACACCGATAATGATACCGAGTATATATACACCGATAATGATACCGAGTATATATACACCGATAATGATACCGAGTATATATACACCGATAATGATACCGAGTATATATACACCGATAATGATACCGAGTATATATACACCGATAATGATACCGAGTATATATACACCGATAATGATACCGAGTATATATACACCGATAATGATACCGAGTATATATACACCGATAATGATACCGAGTATATATACACCGATAATGATACCGAGTATATATACACCGATAATGATACCGAGTATATATACACCGATAATGATACCGAGTATATATACACCGATAATGATACCGAGTATATATACACCGATAATGATACCGAGTATATATACACCGATAATGATACCGAGTATATATACACCGATAATGATACCGAGTATATATACACCGATAATGATACCGAGTATATATACACCGATAATGATACCGAGTATATATACACCGATAATGATACCGAGTATATATACACCGATAATGATACCGAGTATATATACACCGATAATGATACCGAGTATATATACACCGATAATGATACCGAGTATATATACACCGATAATGATACCGAGTATATATACACCGATAATGATACCGAGTATATATACACCGATAATGATACCGAGTATATATACACCGATAATGATACCGAGTATATATACACCGATAATGATACCGAGTATATATACACCGATAATGATACCGAGTATATATACACCGATAATGATACCGAGTATATATACACCGATAATGATACCGAGTATATATACACCGATAATGATACCGAGTATATATACACCGATAATGATACCGAGTATATATACACCGATAATGATACCGAGTATATATACACCGATAATGATACCGAGTATATATACACCGATAATGATACCGAGTATATATACACCGATAATGATACCGAGTATATATACACCGATAATGATACCGAGTATATATACACCGATAATGATACCGAGTATATATACACCGATAATGATACCGAGTATATATACACCGATAATGATACCGAGTATATATACACCGATAATGATACCGAGTATATATACACCGATAATGATACCGAGTATATATACACCGATAATGATACCGAGTATATATACACCGATAATGATACCGAGTATATATACACCGATAATGATACCGAGTATATATACACCGATAATGATACCGAGTATATATACACCGATAATGATACCGAGTATATATACACCGATAATGATACCGAGTATATATACACCGATAATGATACCGAGTATATATACACCGATAATGATACCGAGTATATATACACCGATAATGATACCGAGTATATATACACCGATAATGATACCGAGTATATATACACCGATAATGATACCGAGTATATATACACCGATAATGATACCGAGTATATATACACCGATAATGATACCGAGTATATATACACCGATAATGATACCGAGTATATATACACCGATAATGATACCGAGTATATATACACCGATAATGATACCGAGTATATATACACCGATAATGATACCGAGTATATATACACCGATAATGATACCGAGTATATATACACCGATAATGATACCGAGTATATATACACCGATAATGATACCGAGTATATATACACCGATAATGATACCGAGTATATATACCCCGATAATGATCACACCGCGTCGTATAATGATACCGAGTATATATACCTCGATAATGATCACACCGCACCGTATAATGATAACGAGTATATATACCCCGATAATGATCACACCGCGTCGTATAATGATACCGAGTATATATATGCCGATAATGATCACACCGCACCGTATAATGATACCGAGTATATATACCCCGATAATGATCACACAGCGCCGTATAATGATACCGAGTATATATACACCGATAATGATCACACCGCGCCGTATAATGATACCGAGTATATATACCCCGATATGTATGAAAGAGACAGATTTATTAGTCTGTATTAACAAGAACTTACTGCCAACATAATCTGCGTACATCTCTCCCTTTCTAATGTCATAACGACGCAGTTGTCCATCTACAGACCTGAGGAAGACAAAGAGAAGTAATTGTTCTGGCTACAGAGTGCATTACTGATTGCATGTTAGGAGACAAAGATACAACTGGGCCCTCCCACCACAGGGTGACACAGACAGGAGGAGCTATGTGACATGGAGTCTGTCCCTCCCACCACAGGGTGACACAGACAGGGGGAGCTATGTGACACGGAGTCTGTCCTCCCACCACAGGGTGACACAGACAGG